TAAAAAAAAAAAAAAAAAAAAAAAAAAAAAAAATTATAAACACGAAAATAGATACAGAAAATATAATCGAGAGGTTCTATAGACTCTAAAGTATAATGGAGAAAACTACAACGTTAAATTTTTTTTTTTTTATTTTTTATTCTTGAAAAGCTTGCACGAAGAATAGCTCCAGGGACGGAAGTATTTTTTTAGTTGCACATTCATCAATTTTTTCTTTTATAAATTTATACATTTTTATTTATTTATGTTTCAGCGTCGTCGTGTGACATGGTATTTAGCAGCGACACCACAAAAACAGGAATAGTGACGTCACCAGGCTATCCGAATCCCTATCCACCTCGATCAACCTGCAGTTATGATTTCCACGGCCGAGGGAAGGAGAGGGTACAAATCGTCTTCCAGGATTTCAATTTAGTGGACGCACCCGGTGACCCCAAAGGGTAAGTAAGGTCATCCATATTTTTTTTTTTTTTTTTTTTTCCCAGAAAGCATATTATATATAATTTATAATGCATGATATAATGTAAGCCCGTACTTTCCCAGTTCCGGAAAATTTACTAGGACTCGAGGACACTGCTCTGAGTCAGCGAATTTCCGATGCACATATGCTCCCCTAACATCCTTTTAACACATGTATAGATATATATATTTTTTTCTTCCTTTTATATTTTGCTCGACGTTTTCTTGCCTATATATCCTCGCGTATGATCAAAACCCAAAGGGATTGCGATTGTGATACGTTGCCGAGGGCATCTACCAGAGTGGAAATCTTGTTTAGTTCCAACAAAGCGTGTATAGATCCTCATGACTCTACTAAGTTTACAAACGAATCAGATAACAAGATTGAGTGAGCTCTCTTCTACTCGTTGGCGTAATTTAATTTTTTAAATTTTTATTCACGTTATTCTACTTCGAAATGTTACCAAGATGTGTGTGGAAGATATTATGAATGTCGAGATCAAAGGTGCGGTATATATTTTTTTTTTATATTTTCGATGGAGTCGAAAAAAATTAGTTTGGAAATTGTAGAAGGTTAGAGGAAAAAAAATGAGATTTTGCAGAATTTTGGGCGATAATTAGGGACTGAGATATTTAAATTTGAAATTTTATATAAAATTATATATCTGGGCATTTTTTAACTGGCGATATCTCCGAAGATATTAGTTGTACAAAAAAACTTCCATGACATTTGTTGTAGGGTTTTTAATGCTGGAGGTCGAAAGTAGAATTAAATTCTCGTGTGATAATTAGTATTGAAGTTACAGGGGTTTCAAATTCCGTATAAAATTATATTATCCGGAAAATTGGCTATCAGAGCGATATTAGTAAAATATGCAATTTAAATTGGCTGATAAACATATGTAGGTATTAACACTCATTTATCTGTTGCAGATGTGACAACGTGGATTCTTTGGTGGCGTTTATCCCTATTGGCGGTAAAATGGAGAGAATCGACGCATTCTGTGGGACAACTCCCCGGCCATTAATGAGCAATGGTGCTCGGCTTTTATTGGAATTCCATGGAGTTCAGTCATCGCGACAGGCACGAGGCTTCAAAGCCATATATTCATTTACCGAGAGTGAGTAAATTTTATTGACCAAACTTTTCGACAGGAAATATCCACCAGCAAATCTATTCTATTCAGAGGCTGCATAAAATCGTCAGTGTGGATGAGATAAGAAGCGCTATAGAAAGCGACCTTTATGCCCTCTTTTCCCCCATCGAAAGCACCTTATCTAGAGTTTAAACAATTTTCTTTTTTTTTATTTCAATTTTTACGGCCCACCTATTTTTTCATACATTTTATCAAGCCTCGCATGTGAATACAGTCAATATAAGACTTATATATTGTTCGAAAGACGTGGAATTTTCCAATTGACTGAAAGGTCCTCAGGGAACGAGTGGAATAACGCAGTGATGTGTTCTTTAGTTTGTTGAGCGGCAGCCAAACCTTGAATGACATATTTACGAGCTTGTAGGTTCGAACGTCAAACTATGACATCAAAAAAACAAGATAATGCCGTCATTTTATGTCCAAACTTAAATGTTTTTCACGGCAAATTTTTCTACTTTATATTTTATTCACTACTTTTTTTTTTTTACCTAGAAGTGAATTATTGCGTGTTAGATTGACGGAAATAAGTTTTTATTTTTATCAATTGGTTTTGTCGCAAGTGGGATGTACCAGTAGACAGGATGTCAATTTTTGTAAGAAATTATGACTTGAGAGCCTTAGTAAAAGCTTAATATTAAAAAAAAAAATTTTAGTTCTAAAAATCACCGCTAGGCTAAAAAGTGGCGCTGTTATTTCTCGCTTGCAGAAATAAATTTCCAGAGTATATAATAGCTAAAACTAGAAATAAGCTAAATATAAATTAAAATTAGTTCTAAAAGTCACCGCTAGGTGGCCAAGTGGCGTTTTTTCTTTTCGCTTGCAGAAATATTTTTCCAGGATATAAAAATCATAACTTTCTTTCTAAAGAACTGTCGAAGCACTCATATCCCAAAATATGAAAGTTCAACAATGTTGTTTGAGTACTCAGCTGCAAAATTCAAGACCATATCCGTCAACGTTTTTTGCGTCGCTAGGCAAACATATTACCCCGTGTATGTTATGTGTACAGACACTTTAGTTAAGTATAAAGGTTTAATATCATCCAAGGTATAACACAGAGCATTTGCCCAGTTAGAAAGTTTAACTAAACTTTGACAAGTGTTATTTCCGTGTGGGAGCTAGAGCTATGAAACCCGGAAATAGTTGCCAAGAAAACTCTGATTCATCAAACTCTCTCAGATATCTGGCAACTGTTGTTCCTTCATATACGAACAAAGTTTATCATTTACGGGATATTATTTTCCACTTAGATGTTTTCCAACCGAGAAAAGTTTTTCACACTTGAGAAAAAAAAAAAAAAAATTTTTTTTACTCTACCAATAATTAGAAAATAAAAATTTTGAAAAGCTCTAGAGAAGGCTGTACGGCAATAAAAATTTTTTATCCCTCTCAAGAGGTTATAAATTCAAGCCCTTACACATAACCTGGCGTTAACAAAACATGTGCCAGCGTCTCAACCCCAAAACATCTCTTTACGCTTTTGTATAACCTATAAATTCTTTTTTCAAAAAAAAAATATTACAGAATAGAAGAATAAAATGGTTCTCACATAAACTTTTTTTTTTTTGTATTTATATATTATGATAGTTATATCGTATCATATATAAAACGTAAGGTTCTTTAAAGAAAAAGTTTTTTCCAGTGAAACTTTATCAATTTTACGGATACTTCTCGTATTACCGAGGATAGAAGCGTTAAGACGCTTTTTAGAGTATTAAATGGTAAAAGTACAACTAATGGGTGTGATTATAATGAAAATTTAGTGTTATTTTTATGAGTTGATAGATAAAAATACTAAAAAATGAGGTTTTATATTTTATTTAATAATTGTGGGTAACCGGTTAGATTTACGGAAGAATTAATAAGATTTTTTCGATAGAGAATTTAATTTCCTACAAAAAAGGTTTTTTTGTAATTTTTTCGTATCTCCAATATTTAACCCAGAATTTCAATTTCAAAATACTTCCAATAAGCCTGGGCCCACCTAACCTGTTAGTCGTCTTATTTTATCTCCTGGCTCGAAAATAATCAAAATATATAAAAATTGACAAGAAAAAATTGATCAGAAGTCTTAGAATCGTCTGAAACAGCGAAAAACAAATTAGTTCCAAAAGCCATCGCTAGGTAGCCAGATGGCGCTATTTCTTCTCACTTGCAGAAATAATTTTCCAGGAAATATAACAAAAACTTAAAATTTTTCCCAAGAAATACAGGAAAAAAGCTTTAGTTCTTAAAATTGCCGCTAGGTGACCAAGTGGCGCTATTCTCTCTCGCTTGCAGTAATTTATTTCTAAGGTATATTAAATAGGAAACTGAGATTTGGCCTTCAGGAAATAATTACTGATCTTTTAGAGAATATTACGGCTAAATGATAAGAGATATCGAAAAATTGATAGACCTTTTCGATAGAGAATTACAAGCTCTACAAAAAAGGTCTCAAGATTTTTCCGTATCTCCAATATTGACCCCATAAATCGCAATTTAATTATTTAATTGCCGCGCTTTGGGTTGTGCCTTAATTTTTGTAATGACTATAACTCAGAAACTAATTGTCCGATTGATTTGATTTTTTATAACTAAACTTAGAATGGTAAACCGAAAGTCCTTGCAAAAAATCAGCCCTAAAATCGCAAGTGTTCTAAAATGGTCACCCTAATTAAACCAGTAAACGAATGAATAATTGACCAAGGTTATTCTCTTTGACAATAAAATCTTCATTGTCGTACACACTACCGTTAAATTATCACCGGGTTATCTAGTAGTCGACAAAAGGACAAGCTTAGAGAGCGATAACCAAAACACATAAGCTGGGAAATGGAAGTTTCACTGCCGCCGAAATCGTTTTATCGAACCTGTGTGACAAACTCGTTGAAAATAACTCTTTGAATCAAAGCGTTGTTAGATTGCTGGTAGTTTAAATTGTCGGCTTTCAATTTTTTTTTTTTTTTTTTTTTTTTTTTTTTTTATAATATACTAAACATATATACATATTTTTTAACAACGACCATTTTACCCCATATTTGTTCAATTAAGTAACAATCAATAAAAAAATATTTTATTTTTTTTACTCACCCATCTACCCTACGTTATTGGTACTCCCTGACGGTGATTACATGTCAAGTGTTGAAAACCCCAGTGTATTGACGATTTGTCAAGAAACAAAAAAAGTCAACCAGCAGAGTCGCTAAAAAATGAAAAGTTTTTGTTAAAAAAAAAAAAATATATAAAAGCACAAAAAAATTCATCAGGTGACAGCTTAATTAAATATTTTTAAATATATGCGGTCAATATTTAGAAAAAAATCTTATGACGTTACTAGAATTGAATTAAAAAAATTAAATCACTAAAAAATTATTTTAAAAATAATTTTTGATAGTTGATCGAAATAATAAATGACATTGACTTGTTAACAATCGGATCAAAGTGAATTAGGACAATTCGATAAACTGACGGGGATGAAAATCTGACAAATAGTGTAATTTACAGTGACTACCTGTGAATTATTGATCAGACACGCTTTGTTTGCTCTGTTTATTTGTTTATATGGACGTTGTTCATCCGCATGTTCATTATGCTAATGAGCAGTCTTGTGTTGTGATGAGGTTATTAAAATTTAAATCTCATCTCGGATAATGTCATGAGTTACTGTGGGAATGTAATTATTTTTATTTTGTATTTGTTGGGGTTTTTTTTAGATTAAATCACGAAGAACGTGATAAAGGGAAATGGAAAATAGGATTGTATAGGGGATTTAGAGGAGAAAAAAATAAGCTTTTGGAGGATTTTTTACGATAATTAGGAGCTGAGATATTTAAGTTTGAAATTTTATAGAAAATTATATATTTGGGCACTTTTTAACTAGCGATATCTCCGAAGATATTGGTTGTATAAAAAAAACTTCTAAGATGTTTTTTGTAGGGTTTATTGAGATGTAGGTCGAGAGCCCAACCAATATTCCGTGCGATAATTAGAACCCGAGATATTTAAGTTTGAAATTTTATATAAAATTATATATTTGGGCACTTTTTAACTGGCGATATCTCCGAAGATATTGGTTGTATAAAAAAACTTCCAAAATGTTTTTTGTAGGGTTTGTTAAGACAAAGGTCGAGAGCTTAATAAAAATTTTGTGTGACAATTAGGGACTGGGATATTTAAGTTTGAAATTTAATATAAAATTATATAAAAGTTGAAAAATTCTTTTTAACTCACTTCAATACAAATGTGCATAACCAAACAGTATAAATAAACAATAAAACACAAAAAACAACGAAGCTTTCCGTCTCTATCGATTTATTAAGTCGAACATATTTCACAATACGGAACGTCGATTTGTAGCTTTCATCGGGTTAAAACAACGGGAATCTATTTGATTTATGCTATCAGTTTCTCATGAAAACAAAAATTCCAATATTTTTTGTTACAACTACCATTATTATTATTATCACTATTATTTTCACCATTAATTGCCGGTACAACACATTTCAAAATCTAAAATTACTCGAAATAATTGCTACTGAATATCCCATCAAAATCTAGTTCTATAATACCATTGGTCTATCCAACATATCTTCCAAAATCTGCCAATATTCCCTTTTAAAAAAATCTAATAAATTCAATTAATATTGTCATTTTCCTCAAGCTTATATCCAGACAAAAATCAAAAGCCCAACCAAAATTCTGTCCGATAATTAGGGTCGAAGATATTTAAGTTTGAAATTTTATATAAAATTATATATTCGGGCACTTTTTAAATGGCAATATCTCCGAAGATATTGGTTGTTTAAAAAAACTTCCAAGAAATTTTTTGTAGGGTTTATTGAGACGTAGGTCGAGAGCTTAACCAAAATTCTGTGCAATAATTAGGGACTGAGATATTTAAGTTTGAAATTTTATATAAAATTATATATTTGGACACTTTTATATTGGTGATATCTCCGAAGATATTGATGGTACAAAAAAACTTTTAAGATGTTTTTTATAGGATTTTTCATGAAGAATGGCATAAGCTAAACTAAAACCTTGCATGATATTTACAACAATAAACTAATTCGTTTATTAATCTCCATTATACTGAATTCACTCGATAATACTCCCTACAATGGGCTAGAGCTTAAAAAATCTTTTCAATCAGGCTTTTATCCCCTCCACCAGTTTTATGCAGCAGTATAAAGGGTATAAGCATAAATATAAATGAATATATAAATATTTGTTCTGTTTGCATGTTTAATTAGACTTCGGAATAACAACTGGACGACAAGAATCCAGTTTTACATGCGCATTTGTATTCAACAGTAATGAAACACGAAATGGTACATTTGCATCACCAAATTATCCTGGATTTTATCCCCGTGACACAGAGTGCCATTATTTTTTTAACGGCCAGCAGACGGAAAAAGTTCACCTGCATTTCCATTATTTTGACGTTGAAGGAGTACTACCGTAAGTTTTATATTAATACATTTTTATTTAAAATACCTAATAAACTTTAATTACCTCGAATATTTACATTCTCAACATAATATCACCCATATTTTATATTAATATATTTTTATTCATTTTACCTTTTTTACATCAACACTCTATTTAACTTTACTATTATTATTAATATTTCTCAGACTTCAATACTTACATTAACTGTGCAGTCAATATTTATTTTCATTATTAACTTTACTAAATCGAGAAACTTTCAACCATTTATCTTCCTTGACTTAATTTAACCATTTAAAGTTCTCTTCATACAAAACTTTTTTTAAATTCGTCATAATTTAATTTTTTTTTTTTACACTCAAAGTATATTAATTATACTTGATAATAGTCTCAAGAAACTAAAAAATTAATATTAAATCCCTGAAGATTGATTTTTTTTAAATTCAAATTTCGCGCGAAAATTTTCAATTTTAATTTGCATTTTTTTCATAAAAAAAATTGAACCAAAAAAATAAATATTGTTATTTATTAATTCTTTAATGTTTAAACAATAAATTGCGACCGAATTTTTGAAAAAATATTCAAGGATGCCTAATATTTTTATGGATTAAGTGTAGTAATAAAATTGATGAAAATTTTGAAACAAAAAGACGTTTCATTAATCTAATGAATATTGAGGGATAACTTAATACAAACTGTCCCGGTTGTAAAACTTTTGGCTAACAAGTTCCATGTTTACTACTAAATTCAATTGCATGACAACGGATACGAGATACTCTGTACACATGTAGACAACGTATGAGAATAAAGGTGATGTAAAGTTTGGAGACTGTTTTGTGAGCGATATTGTCACGGTGACGTCTATGGATGACATTGGAAACTAGAGTTTTAGATTAAAGTTGTTGTTTCGACGCGCTTTGATCAACTTTGATTGCCGAAATTAATTGTTTTTGTTGTCAACACTCTTTATCAATATTTTTCACCACTCTCGGGATTGGATTGTTACCTTTAGTTTATGTTTGGGTCAAAGGTCGGCAAACTCTGATAAATTTTGGGCGATAATTAGGGACTGAGGTATTTAAGTTTGAAATTTTATATAAAATTGTATATTTAGGCACTTTTTAACTGGCGATATCTCCGAAGATATTGGTTGTATAAAAAAACTTTCCTCTCATTTTTTGTAGGGTTTATTGAGACGTAGGTCGAGAGCCCAACCAATATCCCGTGCGATAATTAGGGACCGAGATATTTAAGTTTGAAATTTTATATAAAATTATATATTTGGGCACTTTTTAAACGGTGATATCTCCGAAGATATTGGTGGTATAAAAAAACTTTCCAGACATTTTTTATAGAGTTTTTCATGATAAAGGTCGAGAGCTCAACAAAAATCTTGTGCGACAATTAGAGCCTGACATCTAACCTTTTAAAAATCAATGTATAATTATATTTTCAACAATAAAATTGAATAATTTCATATTTTTATTTTTTTTTTGGTTTGGTAAACTAGTTTATAAAAAAAAAAACTATCCATAAATCAAAAAAGCGACAATAGTGTGGCATTTTGACCATAAACTTGTGTCACGAAATCGATTTAGTTATCCATTTACCTTGTCACAATGGATACATAAATAACCGTGACATTTTTGTTTGACATTAATAGATGATAAATTCCCATCATAAGTCACTATCAAAGAAACGCAACCAGAAAGCTAAGAAATATCCTAAAAAGACAGATCTTTAGTTTCGGGTACATATAAAGAAGACGTCTTTGGTATAACAAATCAATCACCCGAATAGCCACTTAGGTCCGAATAAATAACGAAAAGTAAACCCGAACAAATATCAATCCTACTTATCAAAAAAAAACTTAAGCACCCAGTATTGATAGTATTGATATATAAAATAAAAAATGACGGTTATCGAAACAATGCCGTCAAAGTTGAATTCAAGACAGCTTGAAGTTCTAACGGGATCTTTTGTTACAGTTGTGAAGCAGTGTCAGCAAGCGATTACGTCGAATTTTCAAACTATATGTCACCCGATCGGAAGCACTCGCGACATTGCGGGCAACTGAAGGAGTTCGACATCAAAAGCGACCGGAAGTTCTTCCGGGTGACATTCAAAAGTAACGATCGGCTGGACGGGACAGGCTTCAATGCCAGCTATGTCTTCTTCGACGAGGAGGATAATTATACTATGAAGACACCTCTTAATGGATCCACTTCCACGGGTAAGATTACTCTCACTATAATTCTACATCTTACCTCGCTAGCATTGCATAATCGATATTTATCGCACCCTCATTAGTAACCTGACAGGCTCCGGAGCTACTAAAGTAACCTTTCGTTTAATTCAATGTCGTTATAATTCTCTCAAGAATTAATTCGCTACTAGCTTTTGGGTCTATTACTTTAACAATAGACACCTTGCATGTTTTGTGATTTAAAATAATTTTTTTTCCATTATTTTTCCGCATCATAGCATTTGTAAACATCCTTATCCTCTCTATAACCTTAACTCAACCCTAATGACGTCATTAGAATTGTTAACTAGCGCCGCCTTGCGGCAAAATGTAGAAATATTAATATTGACGTTGTCAGTTTGCAAAAACAAAAATATACAGCCGTTAAAAAAAATTAAAATAAATATTTTTGGGCAGTGTTTAATGTCAACACAAAAATATTGCAATTTACGTATCCTTTGATATGTTTGCAATGACATTTAACCGATTTTTTGGTCCCTGATATTCGGATTGCAATTATTTCGGTGGATTAGTATCATACCACCCGCCGGGCGTTTATTCGCATTCTTGCCACTGATGGTAATACTTTTCGATATATATAATTGTATGCACAGATAAAATCCAATATTAAACGTGATTTTGTTTCACTAAAAACTCTCAATAGGATATTTGACAATAGCGATACTCTCGTAAAATAAGTAAAAGATAAAATCCAATTGGATATCCGTTTCCTGCCCGCATATCGTCGGCGTTTCTTGTTACGAAAAACGTTAACTAAATAAAAATAATAAAAAAAAATACGGCTTGAGAATTAAATAAAGGCCGGATAAAGCTTGATAAATCCGTTTAAAGCTCTGTAAAAGATTAAAAAGAATTCCGGTTTTAGAACCTTAAAACTAAAAAAAAAAAAAAAAAAAAAAAAAAAAAATAGTCCAGCAAATGAATTAATTTGTAGACTGTGACAAAGGAAAATTTTAGAATTACAACTTTTTTTACGGGACCTAATTGTGCTACGGAAAAACTTATTGAAAAAGTTTCTCAGTAATTTATTGGCAGGGTAGACAATATTGTAAAATAGCACAATACGTCGCGCATAAACATGTGTATGAAAATATTTCAATAACGCTACGGGGAGCGCATTATTCTCATTGTTTTTTTTTGTTGGATTTATATTTGTCTACTTATATGTTTTGCACCTATTTTCTCTTAGTTCTCGGAGTTTGCGCGAGTACGAATTTTACAAAAGTCTTATAGATTTTAGAGGGTCAAAAACCTCCTTCGAATGTCTCAAATGTCGCAGCAACGATTGCATTTGCGATAGAAGTCAACCGTAATAGTAATAGTAATGGCAGTTGTTGTACCCAGTAACACACCAGGTTGCTAAGATTCCTGGCGTAAGCTTCTTTTCCACTAGTTTGACACTACAAGTCTCCAAGCTTACTTTCTTTTCTCTCACTATTTTTAACACAATTTCTTTGCCTATAAATGACCATTATTTCAATAAAAGATTACTTTAGTCAATCAATATATCAAAAGATCTTAATCAAGAATCCAAAGTGGATTTCAATAGAAACCTTCATGGATTTTTTTGATAAGGTCATTAATATAGGAACCCATAAGTTAGGGCAATTCATGGCCCCTATGTGGATTATCCATGTTTCCATACCTTCCAGTGGATTTCCATATGGGAATTCATGTACCCAGTTTCTGGTTTGGATTTCTATATGAATCCATAGATTCCAACATTGAATCTTATGGATTACTTTAAGAATCTCTTTCTAATGTGGATTTCAATAGAAACCTTCATGGATTTTTTTGATAAGGACATTAATATAGGAACCCATAAGTTAGGGCAATTCATGGGCCCTATGTGGATTATCCATGTTTCCATACCTTCCAGTGGATTTCCATATGGAAATTCATGTACCCAGTTTCTGGTTTGGATTTCTATATAAATCCATAGATTCCAACATTGAATCTTATGGATTACTTTAAGAATCTCTTTCTAATGTGGATTTCAATAGAAACCATGGATTTTTTTGATAATTTATATATATTTGCTTAAATGACACTAATATCCGTTCGAAAAAGTCTATGTAGTAGGTTTTTATAAAAAATATAGAGATGAAATAAAGAAATATATTACATACCTGCAACCTGCATTGCAACAATTTAATGATTACCTCTATCCTTGAAATCCACTTAGAAATTCCGCTACCAAAATTTCCACATGTTACATATACAGTTAGCATACATACCCTTGGCATTAAACTAATCCAAACAATTAAGTTATCAAAACTAATATTATTTGACGATATTTGTTTATGTAAGCGCAGATAAATAACGAGGGAACGCTGAGCATGCAGCTTCATTGAATCCAAACTAATTTGTACCTTCATCCATTCTCCCAATATTTCATACCGCAAATGCATGCTGAAAGAGAGATAATAATAAATTCAGAGCGTGTGGATATATATTCTCTAGTATTTATAATATATATATGTATTTCATAAATATGGTTGACAATAACCGGAAAAGGTACACCCGCAACAAACTCGGTTGAAAATCATCAATTGTATTTATGTATAACATACTTGATTATAATAACGACAATCATTTTACCTATTTGGTATTTCCGTATGATGGATATTCGCCATTTTGACAAGACTATAATTGGAATATATTATATATATTTAGTTGTTATCAAAATCATGGTAATTGGCTTAAATTGAATAATAGAATAAGATAACCAATTTAATAAAATATTTTTTATATTTCTGTTTCAGCGTCAAAAGCAGTAATACTAGGATTATATGTCCTATTTATAATCGGTATTATCACCGATAAATTTTACTAGGTATATATATATATAGTAGACGACGACAAACTGATAAAATTAATAACTATATGGATCAACAGTGAATAAAATCTGTGAAAATTTTATTGTAAAAAAAAAAAAAATAAAGACTTATTTAAATTCTTCTTCACACATAACATAACCAAAAAAAAAAAGATGTATTGTTAAATACAACGAACCTCTTGAGGTTAAGGTGTGTGTATGTGTAAATAATGTATTAATAATTGAAGATATATCCTCTATAATATCGGAAGGGTTATTTGTATTGTGTGAGCTACTTTGTAGTTCGATTGAATCTTGATAAGGTATTATATATAGGAAGATTGTGAATTGTAATCGACAAGTGGTGATTGGAGCCAACTTTTATTGACAATCTACTCGGGTAACTTTGTTTTTATATTTTAGCTTTTATTATTATCTTTGTTGTTGGTTATGTGATATCTATTGTTGATTTCAATTTTATAGTCTATTAGAGAGGGATTATATATGATCATATATTACCAGATATTTTACGTAATATGATCATATGAGTCAATTTTGGGGTTAGAAAAATTTTATGGTATTGTTTTGTGTGATCATATGTGATTTTAAACCATCTATGATCAGATACGTCATATATGGCTAAATATTAAACTTATGTAGGTCATAGTTCATATGAGGTCATATAAAATTTATATGACGATATATGATCAGATAATAAACCTTATAAGATTGTATAGTGTTCGATGATCATATATCGCCAGATATTTTACCTTATACGATCATATGTGAACAATTTTCGAGTTATATGACAATTCTATGGTACTGTAATATGTGATTTATGGAATCATATGTGATTTTAAAACCATAGATGATCACATACATCATATATGATCAGATACATCATTTATAATCATATAGTGCTTATATAATCATATGTGACTAAATATTTAACCTTATATGATCAGATACGTCATATATGACTGCATAGTGCTTATATGAGAATGTAGTTTGTATATGATCATATATGGCTAAAGATTGAATCTTATATGATCATATGTGATAATGAATTAAGTAATTATTATTAAAATAGTTCATATATGAACTAATGATTCATATATGAATTATATGATTCATCTCGACACAATAAAAACTTATTAAAAAATCTTCCATATCTGATCATGCATCAACCTCTAATGTTAAACTATTTACACCCTACCTCACTATATTTTGCGGTCACACCACATATGATCACATAAATATTGTACTTTCCATAAAATTTAATGTATAGACAACAACATGCAACCCATATTTTACACCCGAAACTCAGGATGGCTGATATTTTTCTGGATTAGTTTTTCGTATGATCAGATACGAATCTTGTCAGAAAACCTAATTAGTTTTAAATAAGTATAAAATACGAGGGACACATAAAATCGTATTAAATTGTATAGTAAATATGTGATTAATAAAATGACTAAATATCGATAAACTATATACATAGTTAAATATTTATTAAATTAACTAAATATTGATACTATTAGCTAGCAATATAATGTAACTATACATGTATGTTAGATAATTTGTGAATATTTAATAGGTTCAAAAATATGTTGATATTTATAATAATTATTATTTTAATTAACCATGCATTGAATGCAGGTAAATTTAATATTTTATTTACCGAATAATAATAATAATAATTATTATTATTATTATTATAATGAAATTAAAGAACCGCGTGGGTAGTATGAATGTTAAATTGAATGTCATTAATATTAAATACTTGTAGAAATTGTAATACTTACATTCTCTTCGACTATAAATATTAAAAAAAAAAACATTACACAACTCGTTTGAATAACTTTTAATTGAAAAAAGTATTTTTAAAGGTTTCCTACACGGTATTTCTTGTACTCAATTTTTTTTTTTTAATATATATAATAATAATAACTATACATAGGTATATACAAGTATGGAAAGTTCTGACGTATGTAAGAAGAAGCACTTTGTAAATATTGTTTTCCATTAACGAGACTTTGAAGTAAGCAAGTACTCTCTTTCCGCTTATCAATTATATATCATTTTATCTTGTAAACATTTATATGAACCAAAAAAAAAAAAATAATAATAATAATCGTAAAAATTATAAAATTCTTAAACCACAAAATAATCAATTATACAAAAAAATTTTTTTTTTTAATTTATTGTAATCCAATTTTTTTGGTTAACCAAAAATGCAATAAAAATGTTAACATAACAATTATTATACCTCTTATTTTCCAGAACCTCGTCAAAATCATAATTTTTTTTCTCTCGACTTATATAATCTCGAAATTTATTTCTGCAAGCGAGAGCCAACAGCGCCATTTTGTCACCTAGCGGTAACTTTAGGAACTAAATTTTTTTTTTCTTCTTTACATACTACTAAAGCTTGTAATGAATATTTTATTTGATAAAATTGAATATTAATACATCAAATATAGATATCATTATAAAGAAATCTTAAAATATTTCCTGTATTTAATTTTTGGTTAAATTCTCCATGCCAGAATATCGTTCCAAATTCCACTTAAACAAAAAACAATTAAAAAAGCTCTTTATCCATCAGATCTAATCTAAATATCTTTGAAACTTACTCAGTATGATAAACTTTGCAGGAAATATCAGCAGGCAAATGTTCGGTCCTTAAATCAATGAGACACTCAATTCGTTCGACGTGATACCTCTTGTAATAAGTAAGATTTAATGGCGTTGGCGGTTACTTTTAAATGATACTGTCTTTCAGTTCCAACAATGTCTAGAGTTGTTTCACTTATTTCCAGTGGTCCGAAGTCTTCCAATTTCCAGTAAATACGGAATAACTCAATTTTTTTTAAGTACTTTCGTAATTCCGGCCCAGCTATCCATTTAAAGTCATCTGCGTCTGACGAAAGGTTAACTCTCCGCGACATTGAAATCGCGAAGTTTAAGGTCAACAAAATTAACAACTTAGCGACGATCATCTTCACTAAAAGTTTCGATTCACATACTGTAAAATTTCGATAGCTTAATAAGGTGACCTGTTAGTAGTGCGTCATGCGTTTAATCACGTAGTTAACATTGACGTCTGTAAGTTTAATTACAGTTAATGGGACTATTTTGATCCCTTATCGTAAATATAAAATTAAAATTAATTTTATAAAATGACAAGTTAAATAAAATTCACCGCTAAGCCAAGATAATTCGAAGCTATTCATTTCCTTATCAAGTTCAACCCGCATTTGCTAAACTTTTCTAGGCTATCATTCCAATTCGAAGATTAAAAATTTTATAACAATATATCGTTAAAGAAACAATTGGATTGGTTGTTTACTTAAAAAAATTCTAACAAAAAGTTTAGTACGAAAAAATAAGTTGGGAATTTTTTTTTATAGACATACCTAGTAACGCCATCTGTTGTTTGCTGAATACAAATGAAATTAGCGGCCGAATAAAGTTACGCTTTAAGGATATCATCGATTTTCGATCCATAAAATCTAATTAGATAAAGTGGTCGAATAAATCGATTTAATTCACTGATTTATCAATAGCAAAATACGTAAAAAGGATATTGATAAAATAACAAAACTACCTTACTCAAAAAAATTCTTTATTAATCATATCTAATAACAAAATTCCAACATAAACACGAACGAAAATTACATACTCTGGAAATTAGTTTCTGCAAGCGAGAAAAAAAGCGCCACCTGGCCATCTAGCGGTGACTTTTAGAACTAAAAATTTTTTTTGCTGTTTTAGATAATTCTAAGGCTTGTGATCAATAATTAGACACAAAAAAATTCTTTATTAATCATATCTAATAACAATAATTCCAAAAAAAAAACACAAACGATCAATTCAAACCAGATCGCCAAGAAGAATCTCCATAATTAGCATCGATGACTGTGTCGATAACCTTTTGACAGATGAAATCAAAAAGCATCACCAGGAAACCTCTGGGCTTTTTGAAGAGCTCCATAGCATCCAGATTAAGAGGTTGGGCACAGCTGTTATCGAATTGTCGGTAGCCAGCGTCTCTGGCCAGGGTTTTTCGGTCCAAGTTACCTTTATACGCAAAGCTCACGTCATTGACATAACAATTGGAAGTCCCGCGAGCCATAATTCTGGTAAACCTGGCCAAGCTGCTCCACTTAGCCACCGCTCCAAATTTAGCCACTTTTTCTTGATCAAGATCTTGATCATCATTCACCAAACAATTCTCACGAATTGGAAAAGCACACTCACGAAACGCCGGGTCTAAGCTAGCCACAAGAATCTTTCCTCTGTGGAGCCCGATGGTGTCATTCAGCTGCCATTTGGTGACCAACCGACCGCCATTTTGTTGAGACAAATACCGATTTAGAACCCTGCAGTAGTTCTTGGAATGCCGAACCGAGTCGTGAGCTCGACTGATCATCAGAATCATCAGCTCCCAGGGATTATTATTCAGAAATTCATTTACTTCATCCAAGACATCATCAAAAGTGATATTCAGAGCAGTGTCACCCACGTAGATTTCAAAAGAGCCTAAGCTTGAGTAGACGCCGACGTCCAGTCCTCGGACTCCGTACTTCATTTGCAGCCTAACCTCAAAATCTTGGGTCTGGAGCAGCGGGTCCTTGATTAAGTACGAATAGGACGAATGTGTTGTGACAAATGACAACGAGTTGAGCTCCCTGAAGTTTGATAAGTAACTCATAGCTGGCTTTCGTGATGAAAATGGCTCCCATTCGTGTTTGCTGCAGCTACAAGCTTCTACCAAATTGCTTGATAGGATGATAGAGACTAACAATGTTATTGGTAAGAACATTTTTAATTAAAGACTGCTTTGTTTAGTATTCAAGGGGTCTTTATTCCTAAAAATTAGATAAAAATACACTTTTATTGCTTCCTTTATAATAAAATTTTATTGCTTTTTTATTAAACTCCGTCTTTTTACTTAATTAGAGAACTACCCGGGGAAAAAAAATTATATATAATTTTATATAAATCATTATATATAATTATGTATGAGTTTTGGCCATATATAATTATATAAAAAATTTTTTTTAATTTTTAAATTAAAAATAAGTAGGAATTGGACCTCACAGAATATTTGTGATCAAATATCTGATGAAAAATTCTGAGGGTCGACGGGATTTGAACTCGGGTCCTTCTAGTTGCCAGTCCTGCGCGCTACCACTGATCCAGATTGCACGATGCAGCTACAGAACATTATTTATTTTATTTGAATTGAAACACAAGATAGGCTAGGTTTTTATTAAAATTCTTCAATATTTCACGGAGCATCACGAAAGTAGTAGTTTTAATTTTTGATTTTTGATTTTTGATTTTATCTGTTATTTATGGTTAATCTTTATTTTCTATTATAATAATCCCCTAGTGAAAAAAATTATATATAATTATTTTATATGATTATATATAAATCATCCTATTTAAGGAGTGAGCTACTGTTAAAATTTCAAGGCAATCCGAATATTTTCCCAAGAGTTAAATCATTTCTTTATAAAACTAGGCTTAAATTTGAATTGTTTATAATTTTTCTGCTATTGGTCAGACGTGGATGTTTTAAAATAGATGAAAGTCTTTGAAGTTCGCCGTTAGTCAAAACTTGTAAATAAATATATAGCTATGATTCCTGATTGGTCAAACGGGAAACTTTACTTACTTACTATTGTTCAAGCCTAAGAATGTCGACATATATATATATATCGATATGTATCAAATAAGAAAATCACTAAACAATGTATTACATTAATTTATAAAGCTTAGATTAGGAAGCATGTGGATGGGCACTGAAAATTGCTGATTTAAAAAAAAACATTACCGTTTTTTTTAAGCTCTACAATTTATTTCTGCACCTTGAAAATCTAAAATCAATTAGCTCGGAAGAAGAATTTACTTAATTAGCATTTTTTCAATTGCCTATAATTAATTAACAAATAGTGATCGTCACTCAGTTTGTTCTGAAATTTTATAATATTCTGTTGAACTATCTAGAAACAATCTCCCGAGTACAATTGAAGGTAATGCTATTTAATCGAGTAAATTTACGTAAATTCGACTGATTTTTTACGTTAACTAGTATTTGGAAAATTTAACAAAGAACGTTTGCTTTTTATTTTACTATGTACTATGTATATAACAGCAGGTCAAATTATTAGGAACTATCTTTGCCCTCATGATCATATAACGTAAGTCAGATCATAGTGGGATACTTTGGTCACATTTTAGTAACAATTAAAATCCTTTACAATTGATTTTTTCAACATTTTGCAAAATAAGTAAAAATTTATCCAAAAAAAAAACTTTAACGCTGGTTATATTAAAGTATTTTATAATTGAAAAATTACATTAGATTTGTCAAATGCGTTGTCGAACTGTTTCTTTGGTGCAGCTTTGGAGCACTCTATTTTTTTAAATTAATGAACAAATAGAAAAATGTTTTAAATGTTTTAAATTAATATAAGATATAGCCTATCTCACCCGAGGATAGTGTAGCTTTCCAACAGTGAAAGAATTTTTTAAATCAGTTCAGTAGTTTCGGAGCCTATTCAATGCAAACCAACAAACAATATCAAATCTTTCCTTTTCATAATATTAGTATAGATTATATAAAATTATACATAATTTTAAATAGTTTTGTATAATTATATATAATTTTATATATAACTATATCTTATTACTTATTATATAGAATTTTTTTCCCTGGTAGATAAAATTATATATAATTATACAAAATTATATAAAATTATACATATTTTTATATAATTTTGTATAATTATTATATCTTATTATATAAAATTTTTTTCTCCGGGAAGATAACATTATATATATAATTAAATATAATCATTTATAATTTTTTTTTCCCCAGGATAAGCGCAAAGAATAAAGAAACCCTAGTAGCAACTTGGTAAAAGACTGTCCCAAGTCTGCCATCAGTCTAAATAAAGAATCTTGATCAAGTGTCTTAGTCGAGAATTGTCCAATTCTTTACAAAGTGCTTCTCCAAGTATCTTGCCCAATTCCATTGCTGGGAAGTCTTCTTTGAAATCAATTCCAGCCAATTCGCCAATTAGGATTCGGAAAATTAGCATCATTGACCTTATCAATCAATTCTTGGGTTAGAAAATCCGCAAATAAAATAGCGAAGCCTTTCTTGGGTCTCTTGAATTCATAAGCCAGTATATCGTTGAGTGGCCGACGGCATATTCCATCAAAGCGGTATCCAGCTTCTAAAGCAACAGCTCGTCTGCTATTCTCCTTATCTCTTTTGTTAAGCTAATATCATTGATGAAGCACTGCTTATCAACACGCTGACTTTTCACCATAAACCAATGAATATTCCGCCATTTTATCTTAACATTCCCTTTGAACTTGACAATTCTTCAAATTGTCTACAGTACACTTTCCAAAGCTTGGGTCCAATGTCGCCAATAAAATTCCTCCACGATGAATTCCAAGAGTGTCTTTGAGCTTCCAGTCATCTACTAATCGTCTACCAGCTCTTCTGAAGCTAAAGTACCGGCTCAGAACCTAGCAGCTGTTATTGTCTTCATCAGCGCTTCTTAAGAACAGGATCACTAATTCTCCGGGATTGTCATCCAGAAATCCGTCGAATTCATTCAGAAGCTCATCGAAGCTCAAGTTGATCTTCAGAGAAGATAAGGTGATGATAAACTCAGCCAGTGAATAATCTGTTGATACTTCCACGTCGAAGACCCGAACTCCGTATTTAATTTAAGCTGTTGCTTCAAGGTTAAATCTTGCGTCCGTTGCTCTTCCGCTAAAATTGATGATAAGGAAGATTTCGAGCCTATCAGTGATAGGTTTGCGAGTTGCAAGGAGTTTGGCAGTCGAGCTAGGTATACTTAATACGGTCGGTATAAGTAAACTTTTGCGACAAGTTCCGCAAGAATCCCCGGAACTTTTATAGAGTTCTGCAGTACCAGGAGTAGAATTAGAATATTCATTACCTTTTTTTTGGTTTAAAAATTGGAACTAGTTGTTTTTTTTATTTTGTAGCTTAAATATATTTGAAGGTTAATAGGAGATATAAAGATTGTTTATTACAAATTTAATGATCAAGTCGTTAAATCGGGTAATTAGGTTAGTGAATAACCCTCAAGATTATTTTTAATTTTTTAATTTAATAACCTTAAGAGTTATCAATTTTCAATGAGTATAATATTTATAATCAGGGTTATGTCGTCATTTTCAAGGACAAATATCCTTGATTTGAAATAATTTAATACTATAAAGATATACAATTAACATGAAGGTAATCATTTCAAATCATCTTTCTGAATCAGGGATTTAATTAAAATCTTTTACAAGGCTTGCGCAAAACTGCTCTCAACTCAGGTCTGGCTGGGGCCATAAACTCAAATTTGAGTTTAAATAATCAAAACACTGGTATTAAATTTTATTTATTTCGTATATAATATAAAAATGGCTTATATACAATTTTTATTTATAAGTTTATTAAAAAAAAGTGTACAATTATTAAAAATCTAATTTATCACCTAGTTACTATTTATTAATAGATAGTAAAGTGGGATATCAATAAAATATCGATATTCTGATGACCATAAAAAAAAATAATAAAATTTAGTCAGTAAATAAAAAAAACACATAAATATAAAATAATAATAATAATAATAATAAAATAAATCAAACAAAATGCTGATCGCTGGACGGTTAAATTACAACTAATACTGTTAACAAAAAAAAAAAAATTTGTACGAAAAAATAACTTAACCCTTGGTCTCGTAATTAGCGCCGTTTTTTTTTTTTTTTTTTCTACATTCTATAATTTTTAGTAGAATTTCAAAGGAAAGTTTAGAAAAAAATTTTCTCCTTTAAACCAGTTTAAAAATTTTCCCGCCAAAAATATCTCCCATTAAAATAACACAGTAGCGCCACGAGAGGTTATTGATTATAGAAGTTAAAGAATTAAAAAAAGAAATTCCATCCATCGCAACAAAAATAAAATCTAAATAAACCACTCTTTTTTCTTCTGAACCTGGTGGCCAGTAGCAGAATGAACAACAGCGCTATCAGGATCAAGAGCGAGCTCAGCGCCTTTATCTTCTTGCGTCAAGTACTCGCCTTTGTGCCTGGACATGTACCTGCCAATCAAAACGGCCATTACGATAAGCGCCAAGAGTATTAGTGTGAGAATTCCTCCCAAAATGGCGGTGTCAGTCTCGTTGTAGGCTGCGCGAACCTTTTCCTCGTCGACGACAGGTGGCGGGCGAGTCTCCACGACATCAGGAGGATGAGTGGTAGGTTCTACAGCGCAAGTGTTCTCTGGAACGTCGCTGTGAATGGACCTGATATAGCTGGGCCTGTTTTGTTGGAAGAACAGCTTCAAGGGATAGATGTCGTCGAACTGGACCCTGGAGACGCAGCCTTTGAACCCTTCGGTCATCGACTCGTTACGGCCGATGTACATGTACTCGATGTTGTTGAACTGGGCGTCAGCTGACGCCTTTATGTCGTAGTGCTGCTCAATGGGCTCATTTCCGTCGACAGTCACCACCATTGTCGCTCCAGAGTTCTTCCTTTGGACTCTCACGTCGTGGTACTGCCCCCGGTGGAAGGTTCTGTCCCCGTAGAAAAACTCTTGACGCTCGAACCCAAAATCGAAGACTATTCTTAGCTTTCCACTGTTAGACACGGATATTGTCATGTATTCTTTTGTTTTGTTGGAGAACAGACCCAGAATAAAGCCGTGGGGTTCTGTGGTCACGAATCCGACTCTGATGTTCTCGGATAAGGTTGAACGCCAGCTTCCGGAAAAGTCGTAACGAATCATGGAGCTTGGTGATAAGTTCACACCAATTTCATCCGCGCAGATTGGACCCTTTAAATAATAGAAAATATTATTGTATAAGATGTGTAATTTTTTTTCTGCGATTTGATGGAAAATCTTACCTTGAAAGCAGTGAACCGGCAATTGCACTCGTATTGGTCGTAAGCCTCAATACAAGTTCCGTTGTTGAGACAAGGATTGCTAGCACACTTTCCAACGCAGCCTTGGCCAATGCCGTAAGTCCCGCGATCTGCGTAAGACTTGAGATCCTGGAGCTTTCCGTTGAGCAGCAGGGCCCGAATACACCCAACGTATCCGTCCCGGTAGTTAGTGGTGGCGCCCACTACGAACTGCGAGGTAAGATGTAAAGCACGAACGGGACCCGCGGGCTCCGGAATCTCGTTTTTCAAAGCTCCGTCGAGGGTAATCTTGGCCTCCTTGCGGTTCCTCTCGACAGACACTGAGTGCCAGTTGTCGTCGTTGAGGGTATTGGAGGTCTGGACACTGACAGTGCGAGGTCCGTCCCCGGCTTGGTAGTTGAACTGGATTTGCTTGCCTGAGTTTATTGATATTTTTATCCAGTCGGTGGGCCCGGTGCTGTGGATGATCACTGCGTTAGGGGTTGTTGTTTTGAACTCGAAGTAGATGTCGCCCTCGTGGCCCATGTCGAAAGTAGGGAGGTCGATTGTTGCATCTGCTTTCCGGAAAGTTACCATGTTTTCGAAGAGGTCTGAAAAATTAATTATTTTTTAATTAGTTGGTTTTTTAAGGTAACAAGTTGATGGTGGAGACATTGTTAAGGGTGTTGGGGTTACTAAGTAACAGTTAGGGGCGTTACTACGGTTGCTAGAGGCGTTGCTAAAATTTATAAGGGCGTTACTAAGCAACAGTTGCTAAGTAATAGTTGTTAGGGGCGTTACTAACGTTATGAGGAGTGTTACTAAGCAACAGTTGCTAAATAGCAGTTGTTAGGGGCGTTAGTAAAGATAATAGGGACGGTTCTTAAGTTTTTAGGGGCGTTGCTAAGCAACAGTTGCTGAATTATGGTTGTTAGGGGCGTTACTAAGTAATAGTTGCTAAGTAATAATTGTTTGGGGCGTTACTAAGGATGTAAGTGGCGTTTATAAAGTTTATAGAGGCGTTGCTAAATTATGGCTGTTAGGGACGTTATTAAATTACAATTGCTAAATAAACATAAAAATACTTACTATCTCCTTGACATTCAAGGGGACCAAGAGTATACCGTCCCTCTTTTTCATCCAAGGCAGTTCCAGTATCCCCAAACCTCAATTGCCTCACTGGTAAGTGTTCCTTCTCAGTAATATCCCCACCGTCTTCATTCCAGCTGTCAAACCCAGCATCACAATTACACCACTTTGTTGGATCAACACAATTACCGAGAATTCCACACTCGCACTTTCTAGAACCAGGCAACGCGCCACCCCAGTAGTCCATGTTCTGGTTGTTCCTACTGACCCACCATGAGTTCGGACGAAACGGGGCGTTTGGATCCACGGGAGTGTTGAACAGCCGAGAGTGTTTGCAGGCGTAATTAATATGCTGGCGGCAAGAGGTCGAGCGGTTCATCAGAGCAGTGATCTGGTCGAAGTCAGCGTCATAAGAAATCTCTTGCTGGAAACTACCAGGTTCCTCGTAGCCTTCCACCGGCGTTGGTAACTCGTTGCTGTGTCTCACGATAGTTACTACACTTTTATCCGGATAGAACATGCAGGTTACCGGGAAGGGGTCCAAGGGTCCGCTGCCGTCAACATCAATCTTTATTTCCACGCGTTGGTTCCCCGCATTTGAATTCTTGTAAGCTTCGCAGGACAGTGGATACTCCGCTGGAATAAAAATCAACATAAATTCATTCCTCTATTCTATTCTATAAAAAATCATTCAGAATAAAATTAAACTCACGGATATGGCAAACAGCTCCAGAGTAACCAGTATGCTCGCAGTTGCAGTGGAACTGATCAGAGGTCTGGGTACAAATTCCGTCATGCTTGCACGGATTAGGATTGCACCTATCCAGCATTTGGCAAGCGTCCATGATGATGGTTCCTTCAAACTGCTCAGGCTTCCAATTCGTCGGCAGCTTGATGATCCCATCAATACTGATCTGTCGCATGCATCCTACGAAACCGCGGTCTCCGCGACCTTGTCCTAGAAGACCTCCACCGATCAGGTACTTGGACCCAGTTAGCATGTTCAACAGTCTCTTGGTATTCATTGGACGTCCGTCGACGTTCAGAATTATTTTGTTTTTGGATATGGTCAAGATCACCTGGTGCCACTTTCCGTCGTTAAAACTGTCGTCGTAGTCGTCTAATATTGTCTCGGGGTTACCTGGGGTCAGGATCTGGACCTTTATCCGACCGTTTTCTAGAAACAGCTGCAAGGGATTTGTTAATTATAACACCATTAGGCCCGTTAGGGCCAGAAAGTTTGCGTTTTTTCTTTATTTAAATTTGAGGTTAAACATATGAATGCTTTTTTAAACAACTGTGAAAGTCATTATCATGATTATCATTAACAGCAACTGAATCACTAGCAATATTTAAGACAAGTTGTTATAAACACTTATTGGCTATTGAGCGTACTGATCTTTAAGTGTATATATTGTAAGTTAAAGTAAAATCTCTATACAGTTCCGCTGTGAATAGTTCCGTTCCCCTCAATGTTTTCCCCTTCTCCTTAATATTACCCCTTCGTTTACACGACATTAGGCGAAGCATATTTATATGTGTGAGGTCGATGAGATAGTTATTTTCTAAACCACCTTAGGCCTTATCAATTAAAAAATAGATATTATTAAGCTGCTCGATGAAAATCACTTAAAAACTTACATAGCTGATCAATACGGAGTAACAAGAACTACAATTTACAAAATACATAAAGCTCGTGACAAGAGTTACATATCAATATAAAACGAATATTTAAATTTCCCAGGCAGTGTTTCAGTGTACTGATGAGTTACCACTCTTTAGATTCATTGGTTTATAAAAAATAAGCCACACGTCTTTGAGATCTACTTTGAATAGTTTCCTACCACTCTCGAGACCGAAACTTTATAGAAAGTTTAGTGTATTTTGACCAAGTGCAATTTAGTTCTGTGTTATTCTGTGCAATGATAAAAGACTAGAAGTAGACTGTTTTTGTTTCTGCTTTCATTATTAATTCTTATCTATAATTAATTAATATTACTAAAATGATATAATAATAATAATAATAATAATAATAATAATGATATTATAAGAACTTATTTTCATTTGTCAATAAATTACATTAATTATTAAAAAGAAAAATAAATTTCTTACCTTAACAAATCCATCTGACGCAAACTTATGATACATTATCAATCCTTTTTCTTCATAGCTTCGAAAAGCCAAAGAAACATTCAAAGTATTAGAACGATCATACCCAGAAAGGGTTGCAAAGCTATCAGGTTTGACAAAAGTTACTGGAACAATCTGCGGTTCCGGACACCCATAGATCACGCGGTTCTTAAAGAACCGAGAATTAAGAGTCAGCGCCCCCTCTGCTGCTTCAACATCTTTCATGTCACGGATTATGTTCGTTTTGTTTAACATAAAGTTCTCGATGCAGCCAGTGAAATTTTGGGTTACCATCAGGCCTTCTTGTTTATTGGGAACTCCTCCTATGTAGAACTGCAAAAAAAAATTGAATTATTGTTAATAATAATTGAGTGATTCATAAATATTAAAAAAAACTTACCGCTCGGTTGAGATCTAACCGGTGGAAATCACCCTTGACACGTCCCTTGACAACAACTCGGTCGACGGAGAAAGAAATGTCCCTTCTATTTCTGAAGATCTGGACGTCGTGCCACATATTGTCATCCAGAAGGCTGCCAACAGACAAACTAGTAGGGATTCCCGAGCCCAGATCAATGTTCATGTGCATCTTGTTGTCTCTCATCTCCACGGCGATGTAGTCACCCTGGGTGCCGCGGGAGTAAGCGATAACTCCGTCGGCGTGGTTAGTCTTGAATCTAAATCGAACTGCATGCCGGTCTGTTTCTATTTTCTCACGCTGCAGGTCCTGTCGAATCAGTGAAGATCCGTCAAAGTGCACCACATCGGAAACTGAAAATAAATTTAATTAAGTTAGTAGAGTCCTAGGTTAAGCTAATAATTAAAATTTGATAAATAATTACCGTAGTCACAGCCGAATAATTCTAATCGCATTGAAATCCTGTCTTGCCACCTGGTAGGGTTGATCCTAATCCACTGGGCTATTATTGGGACTTCAAATCTATTTAATTTGATAGACTCTGCGTTTACGTTACCTTTGAACATCTTAAGAAAAATTAAAAATAGTATTTTATTATTAATTACTATTTATTTGTTATTTGTATTTTTTTTTTCATGCAATTAGTGCGAGTGCAATGTTAATTAATTAATAAAAGAAATATAATTAATTCCTGTAAAATAAAAATATTAAATCGTTGTTTTAATAGTCTATAGAGAAAATGCATGTATTATAATTTTATTTTTTATTAAATGTTTCATAAACATTATTTAGACCATGAAAATGCAAAATTTTTTAATAATTCATTTATTTAGGTAGTTTTAAATTTTTTTTAATTTGAATTTTCGCGGGACTGTGACGTAGTACCTTTTCCGGTGCGCAACGCCATCTTACAGAAAATTTAAGAACTAAATTAAAATTTTTTTTTTGTTATTTAAAGTAAAAATCAATTATAAACTGTTTAATAATTAAAAAAATACTAAAATTATAAATAAAAAATTAATTTTTGACAAATAAATGGAGAATTTCTCTACATGTCCTATAATTTTACCTCTTCCACGCCATTTTGACTCTCATAAGTAGTCCAAGCTTGCCCATCATCAGAATACTCGACAATAAACTCAGTGACAAACTCCCTGGTGTTGGCTCTTCCCCGTGTCTGAATACTCCTTATCTCAACTCTGTCCCCCAGGTCCAGAGTGAGATGCTGGTTGTACGAATTATCACTGGGCGTCCACGCGCTTTTGCCTAAGAATACCCGTATTAGTTTTGTTCCCACATCCACAACCAGTGTTAGTTAATTAAATAATCAAAAACTCAAGCAGGTAGTAATAAGTAGCTCAAAAGTAAATAATTAGTAAGTGCAATTGTAAAATATCCATGCAAAGCAAACAAAAGCTATTTTTTTGAGCAGATACCAGCAATTCTACCTTGATGTTTCCCTGGTGGTCTTTGTAGATCTGATAGTCAAGATCATTGAACCCGTAGCTGATAGAGTATTCCAGGACGAATTCTCCATGATTGTCTCTTCCTTGGGTCACTATGCTGGAAATGTTCATTGGGTGGCCCAAGTCGAGTGTGAAGTACTGCTTAGCGTCTGACTCCTTGGCCGTCCATGATTTGTCGCCTAATTACAACCAATATTCATGCAACTATTCTTACAAATACAAATACATATCTGCTCAAAAATAAAACACAAAGCTGCCAAAATTTATATTTACAAACTAGTATTCAATAATTAACAAAATAAAAATTTACGAAAAATTTATTTAAACCCACTGATTACATTATTTTATTCAAGGTCTTTCACTTTTTGAAAAATAATCGTCACAATATTTCTCGTCTTCTTTATCTAGCGCCTGTGATCCTGATATTAAATCTTCGTAGGTAAGTTCCTGGAACATTGAGTTGTTCCTTGTTCCAAATGTTCCTTTAAGTTCCGCAAGTTCCTTAGAAATAGCAACAGCAACACAATGACCATCAAGAACAGTCTCTTCAAACCTCCAAGAAGTTTCTGTTCCATTATTATAAAGCACCGTATCACAAACAACATCTTGTTTTCCCAACGTAGACTTAGTAGCAAAATCAAGTTCCTGCAAATTCTCAACCAGGCCAGTTCCAATTGCCTTAACATAGCTTTCCTTCAAAGCCCAGTGCCTGCAGAACATATCAACCTGTTCTTTCTCACTCTTCTCACCACGGATTTCCTTCCATTCGCGAACTGAGAAATTCCTGTCCATTATCCTGAAGAACTCTTGGATTTTCTTCCCTCCAGTGTACTCCAGCTTCATGATATCAACTCCTAACTTGAGATTCTTGGCACCAACAGTGCCAACAGTGACCTTCTCCCCAGCTAGCACTGTATAGGAACCCTGGTGAGAGACGTTGAACAGCAGTCTGTCATTTTCCACACAAGGCCTGTTGTTCTCGTCACGGAGAAGCTTCACCAGGTGATAAGGAACTTGCAAGCTTTCGCTTACAAACTTCCTCATCAGCAACCGACCCGCCAAAGAGGCACGGACGTCCTTGCGAAAGACGAACCTGTCCAGCCGAAGCTTCTCTTCAGGCTGAATTAAAGATATTGCGTGACGGAACTGCTGCGGAGACGGGCTCCAGGTCCCCCAGTTAAAGGACCATCTTATACTTGTTGACATTTTTTTTGGGTTAGGTAAGTTTACCTGGAGAAAATATTGTGACTTACTGCGAAGCTTTTATTTTAATCAGTGGGTTTGTCACAATTGTAATGTTATTAAAAGATTCGGATTTGGATGCAGATTTTTTTTGATTCAATTCTAAGAAAATTCTAGATACAATTTTTAATTGTGCCTTTTTTAGAGGTTAGTTACCGTAAAGTCGAGCTTGGTGAGGTTCACGGTCTTTCATATACGATGTCGCATGGATTTGGGCACGATCGAATAATGGAGAGTTGCATTCGTATTCATCTGAAAAATATTTTATTTATTTTTATGGGCATTTTATTGAACTACACCGAAAGAACAAGATTATACTGGATATAATCCCAGATTATACTGAGTGAAAAAATTTTTCAGATAGTAGCTAGTATAATCCAGATAACAATGAGCGTAATCCAGATTACAATGATTATAATCCAGATATTATCCAGTATAATCTGGATTATACTAGCTACCATCTGAAATTTTTTTTCGCCTCAGATGTCACTGAGTATAATCTGAGATGGTATCCAGTGTCGTCTTGTTCTTTCCGTGTAAGAAATTTTTTTTTCGTTTTATTTTTTTCATTGGTTCAAACTTAAGGTTAAACATTAATTTTTAAGTACTAAATTATTTTTAAAAAAAATTTTTTTTTTTTTTAAATAAAATTGTCAATTTTATGAAATAAAAAAAACTTTTTTTTTTTTACTTTATTTTTGAAAAAAAAAAAAATTTTTCTTGATTTAATTTTTTCAATTGATCAAATTTAACGTTAAAAATTAATTTTTTTTTACGTACTAAATTATTGAAAAAAAAAAAAAATTTTTTTTATAAAAAAATAAAATTGTCAATTTTATAAATTAAAAAAAATTGATATTTTTTTTTTTTTTAATTTTTTTTCAAACTAAAAAATAAAAATTTATAAATTAATTTAAAAATACAAATTAAGGGCGTCGCTATAGTAAAAATTTGTTTGATCCATAGTGACACTGTTGAAAGAAAAAAAAAAAATAACAAAAGCGAGTATTAAAAATCAATAATCCATTACCGCTTACAAATCGTATTACTAAAATAAAAAAAAATTAATAATACTAATATTATTACAGAATTAAAAAAAAAAAAATTAATTAAATAGTAAATATTAGTAACGCCATGATGGGCTTGGTCATACTCGGCGAGTCACAGCTAAAAAATGTGTACAAATTTAAAATATTTAATTACTAGCGACTCTGTGACACCTCATTGATATTAACATTAAAAAATAATTTTATAAAATAAAAATAAAATTAATAAATAAAAACTTACAGGCAGTGGTGACGGCTAAGGCCGTTAATAAAATTCCGCAGAATAAATTCATGATGACATATTTTTGACAATAAATAAGTTACTTTTTTCTATTGTGATGTAAAAAAATATTATTCTGGTTTAATTTGTGATGTACTGTACACTACGTTAGACAAGTACTGGTCACGGGGCGGGGACGCCTTTTAAATATATAAGAATCACAAGAGAAGAATAATACAATAATAATAATAATAATAATAATATTGAGATGAGTGGTCTACGGTTTATGAACACAATATACAAATTACAAGTGCGAGATGGAAGTGACTCATGAGAATTTAAGGCGTGTTCTGAAAAGAAAATGGTTCCGGCGCTTCCTGGCAGATGGCGGTAAGTTTTGAAGGGGTCATCTGAGTGATCCGAACGGAAATGTAGCCAATGTAATTATTGTAAAGAAATTCAAAAAGTAACTTGCTCTCTAACAAGTTATATACATTTAATACTTCATACATAACACTTTAATATATGTCAAATAATAGTAAATTCTATATAATAAAATACACACATTAAAACATTTAAATATCATATTTATGAAAAAAATTAAACTGTAACCCATGAAACATTACAAAAGAACGACAATTGATCTGTCTTCTAAGTCTTCTAAGTCATAAGAAATTAGTTGTCGGTAAGGTAAATTTTTTTAGGTAACTGGCGGTGAAGGAAATTTAAATTATATAATCTAAATTCAAACAACCTTTATATTCTGAATAAGAATAATTCTTCTTGAAAATATTTATTGTTTTTATTTATTAAAATATATAAATATTGATTACTAAAATAAAAAAAAAATCGCTTATTTAATGGGAAATTATTTATTTTTCTTCATAAAGTAATTTTTTTTTTTTTAATTCTATAAAATATTAAAAACAAACTGTTCTTTAACTTGTTTCAGCTTAAACTATTATTTATTTATACACCTTCTCAACATTTATCAATAATTACGTTCTTGTCATATGAATACTATAAAACAAACAATTATTTTTTATATATACGTAATTAGAATAATATAAGAAGAAAAAATTATTAATTTAAATATAATTCGTTTAAACTTAGATTAAAGATAAAAAAATATAGGAATATCAGATATAATTAGAAAGTTAAAAAATATTAGAAAATTAAAAAAAAAAAAGATGTTTTTGTTCCTTTAATATCGATAAATTTTGAGAAAGTGTATAAATAAATAATAATTTAAGTTGAAACAAATAAAAAACAGTTTGATTTTAATATTTTATAGAATTAAAAAAAAAAAAAAAAAAAAATTACTTTATAAACAAAAATAAATAATTTCCCATTAAATAAGCAATTTTTTGTTTTATTTTAGTAATCAATATTTAAATATTTTAATAAATAAAAACAATAAATATTTTCAAGAAGAATTATTCTTATTTAGAATAAAAAGGTTACATATATATAAAAAATAATTGTTTGTTTCATAATATTCATATGACAAGAACGTAATCATTGATAAATGTTGAGAAGGTGTAAAAATAAATAATAGTTTAAGCTGAAACAAGTTAAAGAACAGTTTGTTTTTAATAGAATTAAAATAGAATTGTTTTATAGAATTAAAAAAAAAAAAAAAAAAATTACTTTATAAAGAAAAATAAATAATTTCCCATTAAATAAGCAATTTTTTGTTTTATTTTAGTAATCAATATTTAAATATTTTAATAAATAAAAACAATAAATATTTTCAAGAAGAATTATTCTTATTTAGAATAAAAAGGTTGTGTTTGAATTTAAATTATATAATTTAAATTTCCTCCACCGCCAGTTAATACCTAAAAAAATTTACAACTAATTTCTTACTTATGACTTAAAAGACTTAGAAGACAGATCAATTGTCGTTCTTTTGTAATGTTACAGTTCATGGGTTACAGTTTAATTTTTTTCATAAATATGATATTTAAATGTTTTAATGTGTGTATTTTATCATATAGAATTTACTATTATTTGACATACATTAAGTGTTATGGATGAAGTATTAAATGTATATAACTTGTTAAAGAGCAAGTTACTTTTTGAATTCCTTGACAATAATTACATTGGCTACATTTCCGTTCGGATCACTCAGATAACCCCGGTCAACCAGTCAGATTGACAACATTCCGAATTATTAAAACTCTAGAAAATTTAAAATTCCGCTGCATTCAAAGTTTATAAAATACATTAGCTTAAATAGAATACCAGCCGAAAAACAATTTTGTAAATTATAAAACACCGAGTTATCGAATATAAGTAAATATAAGTTTTATATTCCTCAAGAGTTAAAATTAATTTGATTTCGAAAAAGGT